GGAAACTATTTTGGGATTTTAGAGATTTTCGGGATTCTCGAAATTTATCCATAAAATAATCGATACTTTTATCGGTTTTGTTTTCGATATTTTTATCGAAATTTTTATCGGTATTGTTATCAATTTTGCTATCGATATTTTCGGAACTTATCGATATAATAATCGATATTTTTATCGATTTTGTTATCGATATTTTAACGATTTTGTTATCGATTTTGTTATTAATACTTCTCGATTTTTTTATCGATATTTATCGATTTTGTTATCGATATTTATCGATTTTGTTATCGATATTTATCGATTTTGTTATCAATATTTATCGATAATTTTATCGATTTTGTTATCGATATTTTTATCATTTTTGTTGTCGATATTAATCGATATTGCTATTGATATTTATCGATATTGCTATTGATATTTATTATTGAAATTCACCTAAGATTTAACTGCCATCGATGATATTGATGCTGACCATGTATTGTATATCGTTTGTTAGAAAAATTTGTTATTGAATTGCATAGTTTAAATTAACATTAGTGATGACAGCTAAGCACCAGATGGGTTCAACATCGGAAAGTAGTTTTTCTGAAAATTGCAGATAGATTGTATTGAATATAAGCCCTCGATAAATTGATTATGACACAAATTAGATATGTAACGTAAGTTTCACTTCTACAGTGTGGTCCAAACGCACTTACTTTTTTTTATATTTTTTTACTCAAGCTGTAGGACAGCATTTTGATTTTAAAATTTTTTTGTAGATTAGGTATTTAAACTGTAGGTTAAGTTGTTGAAGCTGTAGAGCAGCGCTGTGATTTTTTATTTTTTTTTTGTAGATTAGGTATTTAAGCTGTAGCTTAAGTTTTAAATCTGTAGAGCTGCGCTCTAATTTTTCTTGTAAAAAATTAGTTATTTAAGCTGTAGGTTAAGTTTTTGAAGCTGTAGAACAGCGCTGTGATTTTTTAACTTTTTTGTAGATTAGGTATTTAAGCTCTAGTTTATGTTTTAAAGCTGTAGGGCAGCGCTGTTATCTTTCTTGTAAATAAATTAGTTATTTTGGCTGTAAGTTACGTTTTTGAAGCTGCAGGACAGCCTTGTGGTTTTATATATTGAAGAAAGTAAGTTACTAAAAACACCATTTTGAATTTGGGTGCTATTTTTGTGACCACCAAGGTAAACTTCTTTTTTCTTCACACTTAGACTGATGTTTTATTGATAAAATAAATGAGTTATTATAGCAATTAGAACAATTTTATTTTTGGTTTTATTATGGCATCAAAATTCGTAAATTAAAAGAAATTATTAACTAGATCTTGTCTCGCAGATATGCCTTGAGGAGAGATTTCTTCCTCACTGCCTTCATAAAAACCTTAATTTTCACTTGACATTTCAATATTTTCTAATTCTCCACCGATATTATTCATAATCATACATTAGCACCCTCTCTCTTAGAAGGCAACGAAATCTCGATTTGAGCACTCCAAAACAGCGTTTCGGCAGCACGAAGAGAAGTTGCCTTTATGCCGCGATGTCTGAATTTGATATCCCCGCGAAACTAATACGGCTGTATAAAATGACGTTGAGCAACACCACCAGCTCCATCAGAATAGGAAAGGACCTCTCCGAGCCGTTTCATACCAAACGAGGTTTCAGACAAGGGTACTCCCTTTCGTGTGATTTCTTTAATCTGATTTTGGAGAAGATAATAAGAGCCGCAGAACTGAACCGCTCAGGCACAATACTTTACAAGAGTATACAATTGCTGGCGTATGCCGACGACATCGATATTATCGGTAAAAACAAGGGCTACGTCCAGAGTTGCCACTTTGGTAAATTATTACCAAAATTGGTAGAAAAAATTTGCGTTGGTAAAAAGGTAAATTTTTTCTCATTCTGGTACACTTTTGTTAAAGTATTTTATTTGAAAACCGACTAAAATTTTGTTCCCGCTTTATTTTACGTAGTTATCTTTGTATTATGATTTTATTTCCAAAAGTGTAGTCTTCTTTATTGCATTAATTTTCGAACGCTTAATGCACACTTTTTATATACGTACATACATACATACATATGTGAGTATGTATATCGATAAAACGCGAACAAATCGTGCTCCATTAAAAACTCATTTCACTGAAATCTTGAGGAGCCTTTGAACATTTGAGCATTTTAAATGTTTCTTTAAAAAAAAGAAAAAATGGACAGGCTTGTATTTACACGCTATGATTGTACAAAAAAAATTATAAAATCACCGCAAGTTTTTATAAATGTCAAATGAAAATTAAAACACAAAGTACCGGCGGCAAATATATTTTTTGAATCAAATGGAGTTTTTAGCTGCACATTGTTGGTTACACACAATTCCATACACCGAAAATAGTTCTAAAAATTCAGAGTAAAAAGTTCGAAATTTAGACGAAATATTTTTGATTTTTTCGCAATGTTGTAAACGTCCCTGATTTGTATGCGTTTAGTTAAAGCGAAAACAATTTTCTTATAAAAAAAGAACAAAAAAATGTTTACTTAAAATAATTAAAAAGATACCAAGCGCTTTTTAATGATAAAGTTTCGTTGTTGCCTTTAGTTTCATCACTTTCGCTTTTGGTTTAAGAAAAACCGCGAAGATGCCATTAATATGATCTCAAATACCATGTCACCATGTAAAAAAAGGTTATTGGTAGATATTTTCCAGATTTGGTAGATTTTTTCCAAGTGGATGGTAAATATTTTTTTTCGTCAGTGGCAACCCTGGCTACGTCTGTTCTGCCTTCTCGGGATTGGATAGAGAAGCAAAGCGAATAGGTCTGGTGGTGAACGAAGACAAAACGAAGTATCTCCTGTCATCACACAAACAGTCAGAGCATACGCGTCTTGGCACCCACGTCACTGTTGACAGTTATACGTTTGAAAAAGTAGACGACTTCGTTTATTAGGGAACCAGCATTAACACCAACAGTGTTGCCAGAATTTTTTGGACGAACCGGCTAAATTGGCAAATAAAACCGGCTAAAATGTTTCAACTAAATTTCACATGTTTTATTTAAATAAATCACGAGTAAAAACACAATTTCTTGGAGAGAAGTTACAAATTTTTGCCAACAAGAATTTGCAATTAGGAAAAACATATGATTGTGGCACATGGTTGGATTTTTTGTCGACGATAATTTGAATAAAAAAGTTCGTTAAATTTCTTTTGTTTGAAATGCAACCGTGGACACTAGCTGGCAGAAAAACTTACAAATTTACGTTCGTACAGAAATTTGCAAGTTTCTCTACATGAGAGAGAATTTGGGAGCATTTTTTCTTACTATCTGATATCTTGAGTGATAATTCTCGCTAGATTTTCGACGAACAAAGCTATTGTCTTCCCTAGAAGGCCTTTTCAGACTGACCGATTCTCAATACACTCAAATAGAAACCAGTACACATAAAAGACGCTGTAAAAATTTTCCTTCAATTTTAAGGCAGTAAAACAACGACCTTAAGATAACATCAACCGAGGCCATATGTTGACAAGGGATGCAAAATCACAGTTACACAAAAGAACTGGTCAGATTTTTCAGAAATCCCTTCAATTCTGATGTAAAATATGATTCCAAAAGACTGTAGATCACCCATTTAGATGACCGGTCATATGACCGGCAGATATCTCGTAGGATTCCCAGAGAGTTTTGCTTTACATAGAAATTTGTGCTCTTTTATTTTCATTTTGACTCACTTCAGTGTTGGTTCCTTTAATTCAAGTTGGCATTCGGTTTTTGGAATTTAAATAAGTCCTCAGCAAAAAAGTTTGTTTAAAAAAATACATATGTATGTGTACATAGTGCTTGAAAATATCAATTTTTCCCTTACCTTAAACCTTTGGGAGTGGGCAAAAATGATGTTTTGTAATTTAGGCAGAATTGAATATGCGCTATCTGGGAAGACAATATCTACATGTAATATTTATTGTTTGTTGGCACTATACCCAAACACAAACGCATCTTAAGTGTCTTAACAGTGAAACAATTTCTTATTTCCTAAGTTTGCGAATAAAACTTCACACTTAAAATTAAGACATTTATAACAAACATTTTATGAAGAAAATCCCTTCTTCGTTTAAAATAAAAATAAGCGAAATCGGCCCAATTTCATACAACCCTGCCTGAGATGAAAATTTTCTCTACGATAAGGCTAGTAGCCATTTCTAACAGATTTTGGGTCGCTTAGTCAAAAATGGAAACATATATACATATTTAAAATTTAAGGAAACAAGGCAAATAGCACAATCGGCTAAAAACGGCTAATTTTTTTCTGCAAAACGGCTAGCAAATCGGCTGCCGGCTAAATCGAAATTTCTCCGGCTGTTTGCTATCGCAACCGGCTAAATCTAGCCGGAAAACGCCTAAAATGGCAACACTGAACACCAATAATAATGTCAGCCTTGAAATCCAACGGATAATCACTCTTGCCAACAAGTGCTACTTTGGGCTGAGTAGGCAATTGAGAAGTAAAGTCCTCTCTCGTCGTACAAAGATTACGCTCTATAAGTCACTCATGATGCCTGTGCTAGTATATGGCGCGGAAGCATGGGCAATGAAAGCATCTGATGAGGCGGCTCTTGGAGTTTTCGAATGAAAGATTCTGCGAAAGATTTACGTACCTTTACGCGTTGGTGATGGCGAATATCGCAGGCAATTTAACGATGAGCTGTATGAGCTTTACAACGATATAGACATAGTGCAGCTAATTAAAATTCAGCGGCTCCGCTGGCTTGGCAATGTCGTTCGAATGGACAGAAACGCTCCTGCTCTGAAAATATTCAACGCGGGCCGCGATGCTGGTAACAGAGGAAGAGGAAGGCCTCCTCTGCGTTGGAAAGACCCTGAATTGGAGTCATTAAAAAAAGAATCTGTGGGTATCCACTGTCACCTGTATATAAAACATATGGAACCTTAGTACAAGCAAAAATTATAAAATAGTAAATAACTCCACCTAACAACCAAAAATTTTAGTACTTATTATCCAACAGAAACTTAAGTGCACTCGATCTCCATACTGAACCATCGTGAGCAGTTCCACCGAATCTCGCATTAGTCTAATATTTTTAAATTGAACCCGCATACCTTGGAAAATAATTTATATAATTATGGATAATTCAAACAAATATTGAATAATTCGTACCACTTGCACGTTTATTGAGCGACCTCCTTTCCTACACACATATATGTGCTCGATGTCCTTGATTGGTTTCTTTGTATTAATATGGGAATCGTCAATAGCACCTATCATCCCTGGGAAACGGAATTAACGATAAAATCTGTGGAAGGTAATAAATGCTATAACTATGCTTCTTTCCATTCTATGTACAAACTTACATCTCCTTTACTGCTTGTATGTCTTCGGCAGAAGTTGGAAATTTCACGTACTTGGGCAATAAATGTTTGTCCATTATATTGACAACTTCCCTCACACATCTGCTAACGCTGCTTTGCGAGATATTTAGCAAAAAGTCATGTCCGACTGACCGCTGGTAACTTTCTGTAAAAAATACGCATTTTCGTGAAATTAGTTTGTTTACAAATATACAAAACTATATTCACCTTGAGCGAAAAATCGCAAAGTTGCAAGAAATCGCAACAGTTTGGGAAGTCATATGAGGACGGATCTCCAGGGTAGGCAAAAACTCGGAGTTCCAGCGAGCGAGCGAGCAAACTCCTACCCAATGCCTCGCAGGCAACGAGGCGCTCGCAGCTCGTACTGGTAGCAGCAATAAAGCAAGGCACGAGAAATTTGGTTTACTCCAAAACTGATAGAACAGAAGCATGCGCCCTCAAGTTTGCCGTGACGTCATAAACGAAACAGTAAGAATGGTAGGCAAACAAAATGTGTCAAAATACCATACAAAAGGTAAACAAAACTGCGCGCATTTGTGTTAAATTGTAAAATAATAAATATTTATTAGTTTATTATGAAAAATATTAGATGAAACAAGTAAATAAATATACCGCGAATATATGAATGTAACAGAAGCTGCCTAAGTTGAAATGCTGTGGACCAAAATATGTAAATAACATGGAAGTGGTTTTGTGTTCTCATTGCAAGCTTTATTGTGCACATATGCATTCATATATATTGCTATTACAAATAATCAAAACTACATTACTATATATTTTGGTGAATTTTCTTTTTTTCTTGTGAGCGGCTTCTATTGAAGAATTCTTTATTGAGTTTTCTGATTTTGAAGAACATCCTCGCCCGGAAGAACAATTTCCTTACGTTAATATTACAGTTAATTCTGGAAGATTGCTCAATATGCTTTTGTAAAAAATTACTTGTTATGAGCAACTCATTTCCATTAATTGCGTTAAAAATATTTTCAAGTGAGTTCAATTGAACAACGATTTCTTCTGTTGGTTTGGATAAGCCACCTTCGTTCAGGTGATTTACTTTAGTCAGCGCTACTCTGAATCGCAATGTCTTCCACTTCGTGTCATAATTTGTGGCATATATAGCCGGCAATATTTTCGAGGCCGTCATACGCCAATCCTTCCATTTCCGCTATTTCCGTAGGTGTGTCGTCAACCTCAGGGGTAACACGCATTATGCTGAACATTACGCCTGATAAAATTGTAGAAGATTATGTAAATATGTATATGTATTTTTAAATCATTTCTTTCTTTCTGTTCTTTCCAGATCAGGGGTGTCATCGACTTCGACATTTGCCGAGTTTGATATTACACCTTCGTTTCGTCCAAGTATATATAATATGAGTCGATCCTTAAATTCTTGCTGATCTGCTTGCACCGGTCCAGAATCGGCATATGGTTTGCTGCTTGCACCGGTCCAGAACCGCTATACGGTTTGCTGGTGCTCTGCCGCAAGCTTTGCTGCTCCGCCAAAAGATGTCGCCGATCGTAATCCAAGTTCAGAACCCAGATAAAAGCCGCAAGATGTCGCTGGTAACAAATCTGAGTCCGGAACCGGAACCGAGCACAGGGTGTTCCGCTGATGGAAATCCGAGAAATCCGATACCATTCACAACCGGAATCGATCACAGGGTGTACCGCTGATGGAAAGCTGAGAAATCCGATACCATTCAGAACCGGAATCGATCACAGGGTGTACCGCTGATGGAAATCTAAGAAATCCGATACCAGGTGGTTTATATGTCGAAAATTAGTAAAGTGTGTTGGTATGCAGTCAGAAATATAAACAAAACGTACATACGTACATATGTATATACATATATAGATGCTCCACCCCTAGAAAAGTGTGTTAATAATGTGTACATAGTTGATTGCTAAGTATTTAATATGTATGTGTGGAAAGGTCTGTTGATGTTGATGATGAGAACAAATAAAATTTAATT